ACAGTGTAGTCTTCAAGTATAAGAAGATAAAGCATAAACATGAGTATTTCCCATTAACATTGTCCCCCTTCCCAGACCTACACCTTGTCAACAGTCTTTCACTTCTTTGTATGCATTTGCAGGTGTTGGGTGTGTGTGTTTTAACAAATGGAATTCTGTTGTTTGAATTTCTCTCACTTGTCTTAGAGAAGTTTCTGTATCATTGGTTTATAATTCTAAAAAAAGCCTGCATAATATTTCATAAATGGATATTTCCTAAATTAGTTATCCAATGATTATTAATGTTAATTTTTTTGCATCTGTTTTTTTGGTGTACAATGTGGCAGTGAAATTCTTGTGTGTATGTTTTTGTGTACATTTTCAACTATTAATTTAATGTCTTTTTTTATTGAGAATATAAAAATTCTTTGATAAAAGAATTTATATTCTCATACTGTTTTATAATTCCCTTTAGGATTTAGCTTATAGAACGGAGCAAAGGTACTAAGATATAACAAAGCAAGAATATATGCAAATACTTGGAGCTGTTACTATATCTAGTTTCTATCACTGGCATATTCATTGCCATATCACTGCTATTAGTTTATACTTTGCAATACACTCAAACGTGGAAGTCAACTTTTTGATTTGTTCTACTGATATTTTGGTTTTTTTAATGTATAATTTTCCTGTTACTTCAGTATTTTCCTCCAAAGTTAAAGTGGCTTTATTAGCTTTCTGATTGTAAGAATAATACAGGCTCATTGCATTTCATTCAACCACTATTAAAAAGTTCATACAGCCCTAGCCAGTTTGGCTCAGTGGTTAGTGCATTGGCCTGCAGACTGAAGGGTCTCAGGTTCGATTCCAGCCAGGGGCGTGTACCTTGGTTGCAGGCTTGATCCCCGGCCTTGGTTGGTGTGTGAGCAGGAGGCAACCAATCGATGTCTCTCTCTCACATTGATGTCTCTCTCTTGGTCTCTTTCCCCTTCCACTCTCTGAGAAACAGTGGAGAAAATATCCTTGGATGAGGGTTTAAAAAAAAAAAAGTTCATACAAACCAACCTCACAAGCAGTGTCTGTATCTGAATTTACAAAAATGGTATTTTACTGTATTTCTCTTTCCCTTTTTCCTCCCACTTAGCATTAAGAACACCTTTTTTTTTTTTTTTTTTTTAATTATCTATTGATTTCAGAGAGAGGAAGGGAGAGAGAGGGAGAGAGAAACATCAGTGATGAGAGAGTCATTGATCAGCTGCCTCCTGCACGCCCCCGACTGGGGATCGAGCCCACAACCTGTGCCCTGACCTGGAATTGAACCGGGGTCTCCTGGATCCTAGGTCAGTGCTCAGCCACTGAGCCACGCCCGGCCGGGCAAGAACACTTTTCTAATGGCTATGTAATGTGTCATATGGCTATTCCATAATTCAGTTAGTCAAACCCTTGTTACTAGGTTCTTAAAATGTTTCTCATTTTTTAGATCAAAAACACCATTGTTAAATTTTGTTCTCTGTTTACCTATATGTACTTATTTTATTGTTTCTTCAAGTTCTTAAAATACAATTCCTTAGTCAAATCATCACATTTGTTTAATAATTATGGGTTGTACAAAACCTTATCTTTTATGTAAGATGGAAAAAGAAAAGAAATAAACCATTTTTCTGAGGAAGCTTAGAGTTCATTTGGGCAGATAACATTCACTTTTGGAATTTCAAAAGAATAATTAAAAAGTACTTAACAGAATCAACTTTGTTAAACAGTAAAACAATAAAATGCTGTAAGGTTAGAAGTTATCAGTATCAGGCATAGCTCTTTAATGGTCAAGACTTCAAGAAATGGATTTATAAAGTAAATTATTTGTTAAGTTTAAAAATACAAAACTCTTTGTGTGGCTTTTATCACAAAGTCATTTTAAGTGAAAATAAATAACCAAGCATTTTATTTTGTTCAGTTTGAAGCTCACTTATTTCAGAAGAGAAGCAGCAGCAAATGTCTGTGCACTTAGTGTTCAAAGCACTGTTGGACATCAGTGATGAAGTCAGGATTGACTTGGCTTTGGAGAGGTCCAGAGTTAGTCATGGTGTGGTTCTATCATAGATTTCTTCCTGGTGGCTTCTTAATTAGATGACGGGTCATGGAGAGAATTAACATAGGCATACTTTCCCTTCACTCATTTCTACAGTGGCAGCTAATTGTTGGGTTTTATTTTGGCTTGCTTGCTTGTTTTTTATCTAATATTCCTCATGTGCATGGCACAGCGCCACAGTAGATGCTTAGTTGTGATGGTATGGATAGCGGAAACTGAATGACTAGTATCTAGAATTCTGAAAATCTGCCTTGCTACACTTGTTGTCTTGCTAGTTGCGTAAAATAAGCACTGGATCTATTCCGGGCCAAAAAACCAAATCTTTATTATATCTAGGCCCTTTCTTCTAGGGCTTTGGCCCCAAAATTTACTGTGGTGAGCCAGGCTAGACTGTAAAGTTGCAGATGTTCCTAGCCCAGGAAAGTGAAAAGCCCAGGTAGTCTACCCTCCTGGAAGAGAGGAGCACTTAGGAAAAAGAAAGGAGTAGCTGGAAACACTTACGAAGGAAAGTAGTCCAAGCAAAGGAGAGATAAGTTGAGAAGACCTTCCAGAGCTCAGACCAGTTTTGCTGTGGGTGCATCTTGACCACCCTTTCCTGTTAAGACAGGGCCTTCTGTGCAAATGTTTTTCTCTGCCCTCTTTTCCCAGAGGTTCGTTCAACAAGCGTTAAGTATTCCTTCATACCAGGCATAGGTGTGTAGTGGATAAAACAAAAAAATCCTTGTCCTTGTGGAGCTCACACTCTAGTGAGTTAGTAAATCTTTCCCCCTACTGTAAATCCCCCTCGCCCCCCAGGCATATACATTCACTTTAACTCCTCTCACCAAAACTTGACCCTTACTACAGAGGTATAATTTTGTTCTTTTTGGTGGTAATTTTGTTCTTGGTCCACATAGTTGCTTTTCTTCTTTTGCTTGGTATGTGATGTAAATATAAAGATAAAGTGGAGGAAAGGCTAGTGTGGGTAGGCAACTGATTTTTAGGTTATACACAGTGAGACCATATATATGTTATTTTTTAGTTTTTGTTGAGGACACAGTGGAAATACAGTTAATCACTGAATACAGATAAGGGAGATAGCTGGAGGAAAGGCAATAGACAGCTGCTTTGAATATCTGTTGTGTGCAGAGCTCTTTTAGGGAAATGATTATTATGTAAAAATATTAATAGATGATGAAATAATTGGAATTAGCATGATAAAGTGGAAGGGGGTATCAGACTAGAAGTCAGTCTAACAAGATTTTCTAATAGCACACCGTACATTAAAAACCCCGGGGAGGCTTTTACAATTCAGTCTTTAGGGAAGGTAGGGCTTGGGCCTCTTTTCACAAGCTTTCATCAATATTATTTAAAAGGGTTTAAGTTAAGAATTACTGCACTGGATCAAAGGCATTTCCAACTGTGACATCTTAACCTTCTGTGAAATAAGTATAGCCTCTCCTGAGCAACTATAGCTGTGGGAATACATACAGAGGCAAAGGGAGTTGTTGGAGTGATTAATGTTAAGATATTAATTAAGAAACCAATTGGCCATTGTAGCAAAGATGGTAACATTCTTTTGCCATTAACTTTCACTGTCCTTTTTCCCTGCATTTTAAAAAGAGTATTTATTTAAAATTTTTTTCTACAGCCTTTTCTCATTAAATGTTGCTTAATAAGCAGCCTTGAGTTTCCACACCTCTATAGAAAGTTTCAGTTGCTATTTACTGTTACTGGAAAATGCCTTGGTTTGTTAACCCATAGACTAATGAATGAAAGTAGGCAGCGGGGCCTGGAAAAACACCAAATGCTCAGCAGCACTGTGGTACTTTAGAGCCATTGCTGTGATGAGGACTTTTTTAATATGGTGAATAATCCTTATAATTTCCCAGAGGATAACTTTGAGAACATTGTTTACTTATGTTTTCATATTTGTTCCTTTACGGAATTAAGAACTTGAAATAATACAGTTCTACAGAGACACTTTTTTTAATAAAAGCTACCTGATGGTTGAATTCTTTCCTCAATATCCGAGAAAAATGGTTGTCTAAACCGTGTTTGAATCTCTCATGTATCTGGTAACTCGGTAACTCCTGAGGAAACTTATTTGATCTTTGGATAACTCTTTCTTACATTGAAAGAGTTAAAATCTGACTATAGAGTCCCTTGGGGCCATAATCTGTTTCTATTTCGTACTGAAGAGTTCTTCACATCTTGACTCTCCAGCTAATGATTTTTGTCCTCTGGCTTTCTTGTATAGCTTGGTTTTGAGACATTTTGTATAGTTTCTTTATATCCCTTTTGAAATGTGTTAGTGCACAGAATGTGTCTTTTGGAGGACAAGGGGTTTGCTTTTAAAACCAGCCTTCAGTAAGACTTGTCACTTTGCTTATACTATATCCTCTAAGTTACTTTATCTCAGTCATGTCACACTGTAACCCTTACTTTTAACAAGTATTTTAATTTGTGTAATTGCCTGCTCATACCTAGTTATTTGTAAATTTGTCTTCTTAGATATAACTATAAGACTTCATATTTCTTTTAAATTTTATTTGGTTTGTCAGTCTTTGTGAATCTTAATCCAGTGAATTCACTATGCTTTTTAACGTAAGTGTTTGCAGAATTGATGATCATATCCTTTGTTAACACACATATTCGTGCTGGTAGGAGCCTTTTTCCCCAGCTTTGTTCAGATTCTGACAGGCTTTTCCTTGTCTGTTTGATCTTAAGTACAAAAATGATTACTGTTCTCACCTTTAGGTAGATAGAATTGTTGCCTTTTTTCTGGCGCCAAGCTTTAGTACTTTTCTATGAAATTTTGTAATTTGAAAGTCCACCAACAAAGAAGCATCTGTATGACTTAATATATATTCTGGAGAATACTATTGTTATGAATGAATTTTTTTTAAATGTGTTTTCTGTTTAAATAATATGTTCCCTTTTTTCCCCCTCTTAGAGAATGGATCTTGGAGAATGTCTGAAAGTCCATGACCTGGCTTTAAGAGCGGATTATGAAATTGCATCCAAAGAACAAGATTTTTTCTTTGAACTTGATGTATGTGATTTTGCTTTAATGGGTTAGATTACCTTTCACAGTAAAATATTTTTAATATGGATTAGTTTCTCTTAATAGGAAAAGGCTCTTAGCAAATTGTCTTCTTTGCGGTTGTATGAAGGGTGGTACTAAATTAAGTAAGATCATGTGCGTCTTGACAACATTTTTAGAAATTATAAGGTAAAGCTGGATATTTTAAGAAAATAGAATTAATGCAATTTATATATTCTTTTGAAAATTGTGCTATTTTTCTCAATAAAATAGTAATGATTAAGAACGTATCAATTTCAATAAACATAAACCCATTTCTAGTGCATGTAAGGGTTTTTAATCTACTGAATTTTACATTCTTCATATATTTGTATCTAAATATAAACAGGGAGGGTATTAAGAACAATATTTTTTATGTAAAACATATTGGAGGAGATATCATTTAGGTGTCTGGAAGGCTCAGAATTGAACTACATTGGTGTTTTCTTTAATCCTTTTTCTTTTTAAAAATTATGGAACACTTGATGAATTCGTGTGTCATCCTTGCACAGGGGTCATGCTGATCTTCTCTGTATTGTTCCAGTTCTGGTATATATGCTGCCGAAGTGAGCACTATTGTTGTTGTTTTTAATACAAACATGAGAATTGTATAAAAATAGGGAAACTTTTTTTTTTGTATTTACATAAAATATACCAACACACTGATGAGCATAAATTTTATGTTGCTTTTTATCAGTGAGGTAATAGTTGTTTTATTTATTTGGCTTGGGAGATAAAGCAGTAAGTAGGCCCCTTCATCATCATCTCCGAATTTCCAAGAATTTCTGTTAATGGAAATGAAAACCATCTATGTAAAGGTAGCTTAATATGGGGCTGGAACAATTGGGAGAAACACCTGAAAGTAACTGGGTTATGATTTATACACACTGGGCATAAAATACAGCCAAAAATTACCATCATCTGGATGTAAGGGTGTGGATCATTAGGTTATTGTTATTTTCAGTCTTTTTCTGTTATAGTTTGATAATGTATTTTTACATATCAAGTGCATAGAATAAGTTTCTAGAAATAGAATAAGTCAAAGAGTAATTTTGCTAAGTTGCTCTCCATTAGAATTATCAATTTGTATTCCCACCAATAATCTATGAGATTATCTATTTCCTATATGGCCACATAATGTGTTGTCAAGATTTCTTTGCAACTTTGGTAGATGAAATGTGGAATATAAGTGTAGTTTTAATTTGCATTTCTCTTGAGTGAGTTGGAACATTTCATATATTTAAGTTCGTTTTATATTTCCTTTTCAGTGAACTATCAGTGGTCAGTTATATTTTGGCTATTCGTGGATGTTAACATTTTTCTAGTTGATTTGTACTAACTTTACATATTATGAAAACTAGTTCCTTCCCTCAGATAATACTTTGAAGGTTTTTTCCCTATTTTTCTTTTGGTGGTTATGGGCCTTGAAGAATATTTTTATTGTTGTCTAATTTCTTAATCTTTTAAAAATCTCTATTGGAGTGATTTGAAAGGCCTTCCCTATTCTGAGGTGATGAGTTCTCTCCCATGGTTTCTTCTGGTATTTTTATGGTTTCATTTTATATACTTAAATCTTTGATCCAACTTCAATTTATTCTGGTCTAAGGAATTGAGGTGTAGATCTAGTTTTCTTTTTCTAGTTAGCTACTTATTTGACCCAGTACTATTTATTTATTATTATTTTATAAATTAATATCAGAGAGAGGAATGGAGAGGGAAGGGGGGGAGAGAGAGAGAAAGAGATAGAAACATCAATGATGAGCCCGAGCCAGTGATTAGAGCGTTAGCCTGCAGGCTGAAGTTCCAGCCCCTCCCCCCCACTCTCTTCAATCTGGCCAAGGGCACGTGCCTTGGTGCAGGCTGTGCAGACTTAATCCTGGGTCCCAGTTGGAGCATGTACAGGAGGCAACCAGTTGATGTGGCTCTCTCACATCGATGTTTCTCTATCTCTCCCTTCCACACTCTGAAAAGCAATGGAAAAAATATTCTCTGGCGAGGATTTAAAAAAGAAAAAATCAATGATAAGAGAGTCATTGATCAGCTGCCTCCTGCACGCCCCCCACTGGGGATCGAGTCCTCAGCTCAGGCTTGTACCCTGCAGGGAATTGAACCGTGATCTGGATCATAGGTCAGTGCTCAACCACTGAGCCACGCTGGCTGGGCACCCCTAGTATTATTTATTGATTAGTCCGTCTTTTTCCTCTCACCGCTCTGAGATGCCACTTTTATTTTCCCATAAGAAAATTTTAATAGGTTTCTGTTGTAATTTTAAAAATAAATTTTAAATTAAAATTTATTATCACAGATGTAAACTTTTAAATGAGCTTTCCTGTTTTTTACTTTCAAGAAATTCTTTGGTTAACCAGCCATCTTTAGAATTCGGTATGAGTGGATTTATATTTTTAATTAGAGTACTTATGTTTAAAATTTCATATATATAAATGTATGTGTGTATGTGTATATATATATGTAAATAAAATGGTAATACTAGCCACAGCAGTCAGCTGGGAAGGGAAGGAAGTGAGATTCTTGATCCCTTTGCTTTAAATTCTTCACCCAAGGATGCATCTTACTGATTTTTTAGAGAGAGAAAAGGGAGGGGGTAGAGAGAGAAGCAGCGATGTGAGATAGAAACATTGATCGGTTGCCCCCCACCCCAAAGTCACCTGGTCGGGAACTGAACGTGAAACCTTTTGGTGTATGGGGATGATACTCCAAGTAAATGAGCCACCTGTCTAGGGCTAAATTAGCTGTATTTTTGTATAGTAAGGTGAAAATCCAAATTACTTGGGAATAAATCTTGTTTACTTTTATTTATATTTTTAATTTCACTTTTAAATGAATTATTATTTAACAACAGACATATTTACATATGCCTGACAAATGTATTTTATATAGATGTTGAACCAGATTTTTGCAATGCAGAAACTGCTGAAATTCTCAGTGGTTTATTTGAAAACAAGCAAATTTTCCTATGACATTTTCATTTTGGAAAATTCAAAAAATTATTAAGTATCCATATATTCAGAAATAATTATTAACATTTTATGTATGCTTCCCCCTTTTTTTTGCTTTATTTTACAAAGTTGGAATCTTACTGCATATAACAATTGTAACTTTATTTTTTTTAAATATATCTTTATTGATTTCAGAGAGAGGAAGGGAGAGGAGAGAGAGAGAGATAGAAACGTCAGTGATGAGAGTCATTGATCTGCTACCTCCTGCACACCCCTGAGCGGGGATCGAGCCTGCAACCCCAGCATGTGCCCTGACCAGGAATCGAACCCCGATCTCCTGGATCCTAGGTCGACGCTCAACTGCTGAGCAACATTTGTAACTTTTTATTATAAGTGAATCATGAACATTTTCTTGTGGCCTAAAGTGTTTTATTAAACCATTTTTTTAAAGGCTAAAGATTAAAGTTTTTGTGTGTGATCTGGATATTTAGGGTAATTACAGCTTTTCACCATTAAAAGTAATACTGAAGAGCATCTTTGAATATTAATTTTTGTATATATCTCTGTTTAGTTTCTTAAGACAAATTTCTGGAAGTAAAATTGCTAAATTGGGGGTCATTTTTAAGGTATTTGATACCAATTACCTTTTTTTAAAATATATTTTTATTGATTTCAAACAGAGGAAGGGAGAGGGGGAGAGAGAGAGAAACATCAATGATGAGAGAAAGTCATTGATCAGCTGCCTTCTGCACGCCCCTGCTGGGGATCCTGCAACCCAGGCATGTGCTCTGACCGGGAATCGAACCTCCATCTCCTGGATTATAGGTTGACCCTCAACTGCTGAGCCACACCAGCCAGGCCGCTTTGCCTTTCTGTAAAGACTGCTGGTTTGTGCTTCCTTCAGCCAGTATGAGAGAGGCAGTTTCCTTATAGTCTTTCCTTTCTTGGGAATTATTTATGTTTACTCTTTCTTAATTTGATAGATAATGAATAGTATTTTTGATTCATAATTGAACCTGCTTTTGTTATAGTTTTACTTCCATAGTAGCATACTTTTTGAGTAAAGATATTTCTGAAGAAAGCTGATTTTTCTGGCAATAATTGTCTTTTAATTAAACTTTGTAGGCTATGGATCATTTGCAGTCATTCATTGCAGACTGTGATCGAAGAACAGAAGTAGCTAAGAAAAGATTAGCAGAAACTCAAGAAGAGATTAGTGCTGAAGTGGCAGCAAAGGTAAGAATTTCAGTCTTTTCAATAGTACAAAATACAGTTTCAACTTTTAATTTTTACTTTGAAAAATTTCATTCACAGGAGCTTGCAAAGTCATTACAGGGAAATCTATGCATTCTTTCTCTAGTTTCCCCTTACATTAACATATCTTATCAACTATAGTACAGTGTCAAAGCCAAGAAATTAATATTGGTCCAGTCCTTGTATTTTATTCAGATTTCACCATTTATGCATGTATTTATTTTGTGTATGTGGCTCTATGCATTTTTATCACATGTGTAACTTGGATAACTACTACCATAATTACATTAACTAGCATCATCACAAGACTCCCCCATGTTACCCCTTTATAGCCATACACCTGCTTTACCCTAGCCCCTGGCAACCACTAATCTATTTCCTATCTTTATAATTATTTTATTTCACTTATTACATAAATGAAATCATGCAGTATTAAAATCCTTTTAAGATTGCCTTTTTTTACTCAGCACAATTTGAGATTCATACTAGTTGTTTATCAGTAGTTCATTTTTATTTCTGAGTAGTATTCCATGGTATGGATATACTACAGTTAACCATTCACATATTGAAGGGCACATTTGGGTTGTTTCCAGTTTATTGGCTAATACCAATAAAGCTGCAGTAAACATTTGTGTACAGATTTTTGTGTGGACATAAGTTTGCAATTTTCCAGGATAAATACCCAAGAGTGCAATTGCTATGTCATATGGTAAGGCCATTTTTAGTTTTGAAAACAAGTCCCAAACTTTTTTCTAGAGTGCTGTACCATTTTACACTCCTACCAGCAATGTGTTAGTGATCCACTTTCTCCACATTTTTGTGCCAGCATTTGATGTCACTTTTATTTTATCCATTCTGAAAGGTGTGTTGTTACATCTCATTGTGGTTTCAGTTTGCATTTCCCTAATGAGTAGTGACTTTGAACATTTTTTTTCACGTGCTTATTTGTATCTGTATATCCTCTTTAGTGAAATTTTTGTGTATGTTTTATGCCCATTTTCCAAATGGAATGTTCATTTTTAAACTTTTTTATTTTTATTTTTGTTTTAATTTTTTTATTTTTAAATATATCTTTATTGATTGCAGAAAGAGGAAGGGAGAGGGAGAGAGAGATAGAAACATCAATGATGAGAGAGTTGTTATTGATCAGCTGCCTCCTGTACGCCCCTGACTGGGGACCAAGCCTGCAACCCCTGGCATGTGCCCTGATGGGAAATTGAACCAGGATCTCCTGGATCCTAGGTTGATGCTCAAGCACTGAGCCACGCCTCGCTGGGCATGGAATGTTCATTTTTAAAAAATATGTTTATTGATTTTAGAAAGAGAGTAAAGGAGAGGGAAAGAGAGAGAGAAAAACATTTATGTGAGAGAGATACATCCATCTGTTTTCTCCCATTGAACCTGCAACCTGGACATGTGCCCTGACTGGGGATCGAACCTGTGACCTTTTGGTGCATGGGACGACATTCAACCAACTGAGCCACACTGGCTAGGACAAGAATGTTCATTTTTTTAAATATTGAGTTTTGTCTGTTTTGCTCACTATATTTTTTAATCTGTTTTTACTGATTTTTAGAGAGAGGGAGGAAGAGAATAAGGGAGAGAGAGAAAGAGAAACATCAATCGGCTGCCTCCCACACGCACTCTGACCTGGGATTGAACCTACAACTTGGGTATGTACCCTGACAGGGATTCGAACTGGTGCATGGGATGAAGCTCAGCCAACTAAGCCACACCAGCCAGGGCAACTCACTACTTTTTAAAAATGTTCTGTTATGAACTTATACACAAACAGAGAGAAAAATACAATGAATCTCAATGGATTCAAAGCTGTCAGCTTTCTGTTTCATTATTTTATAAGCAAATTGTAGATGTCGTATCATTTCACCTCTAAAATATTTTTCCTGTATGGTTGGTGTGATATAATCAGAATTCAGAAATGGTCCATATGTTGCATTTTGTTGCTTCGATGAGTTACTACTTGTAACATTCTGTACCATTCATTGTAGTCTGGTTCATTTTATGAAAGTGCAGAATGGTGACCAACGATTGCCGAGATAGAGTTTAAATGGCAACATGAGATACTGTAGAGCTTAAGTGTGTATGTACACAGGGAAGTGGATACCCTTATTTGAAAAAAGCTTACTTTCAACCAACTTTTTTGAAGATGGGGATTATAAAGATGGGCATCCTAAAGTACAGGGGATCTATTAATCTCATAGTTGAAAGGGATCTGCTAGACCCCAACCTATATTGGTTATCCATCACTACAAAAATGCTGTTTAAAAAAACTACCTCAAAACTCAGGGACTGAGAACAGTATTTATTTGGTTCATGAGTCTACAGTCAGTGATTTAGGCTGAACTGGGCAGTTATTCCTGTCTTAGCTGGGCTCACTCCCGTGTCTTAAGTCAGCTGGAGGCTACTGATCTAAATTCTCATGGTGGCACTAGAGGTGCAAAAGCATCAAGCTCAGTCATATAAGCGCTTTTCAAGCCATCCCTTGTATCATGTTTGCTACCATCCTATTAACCAACTCCAGTGAGTTACGTGGCCAAGTTCAGGTTCAGAGTATGTTGATACTCGGTAAAATAGCAAAGGGCATTGATACAGGGAAGGGTGAAGAGTTGGCATTAATGCAATCATTCCTTGACAGATATTTAAAGAAAAAACCACTTTGTTAAAGAGGTAATGATAATAGAGTTGGGAATTTCTTTGAGGGGTGAATATCTTGGATTGAGGGTAATTTGAGAAGTAAAGATTATTGGCATACTAATTTGTTGGGACTGGATATCCGTATCAAATTAGGATCTTCTTTGCTAATATAATTGGCCACATAGGTAAATACTTATTTGTTGCCAAATTAAAGACTCTGTATATGTATCAAGTGCTAGTAAAAGAAAAGGAATGAACTAGGTTCCTATGGTGGTGGTGGTGGTGGTGCGGAGGAGGAGGAGGAGGAGGAGGAAGCATATCAGATCCCAAGGCAAGAATTAATCCCAGTGGAAAGACATGGACTAAGGGAAAGGGTTTCCACACTGATAAACTAAAAATCAAGTGTATGTACAAGGCACATTTTCTCATTTCTCACAGCTTTGTGAGATATGAATCCCTATTTCTCAGATGAGGAAGTAGATTCAGGTGAAGTAATATGGCCAAAATTGTACATCTGGTAACTGATTTGGCTATAAGCCCGATGTCTAAAACCATTATCTGCTTGAAAGAGAATTCACCTGTTTATTACTTCAATATTTAAGCTGCTGTTTGTTGGGCATTGGAAATACAAAGATGGGAAATAGTTATCTTTAAAGCAGTGTGATGTATAAAAGTTACAAAAATAGCACAAAAGAGCGTATGGCTTGCTGCTTTTGTGTTTAAGCGGAAGTGAAAAATGGTGATTGATCAAGAACGCTTCACAGAATAGACTCAACTGGGATCTTGTTGAGTGAGTAGACATGGCAGGCAAGGGAGGTAAAGAATAACATCCCAGGAAGAGGAAACAGCATGTGCGAAGTCACAGGCAGAAAGCAACATGGTAAGTTTGGGAAACAAAATATAACTGTAGATCTTGCAAACTGGGGGAACAGCAAGAGATGGATTAGAAAGGTACAGAGGGCCAGATTGTGGAAGAAAAGGTATTTTGTACTTGGAGTACACTGCCAAAGCAGAAGTTGGAAAGTAATAGTTATATAGAGGTCACATGTGTTTCCAACCTCACCAAAGTGTAAACAGGCAAGCTCAGAACATTCTAATGTCTCATGAATTCATTTATGATGTGCTCAGAAAGCATTATTTATACTCATTGCCTTAGATAACTTGTCTTTTTTGTGCATTTCTAAAATATTTTGAACTTTGAAACTTTGCTTTTTATTCATGATCCTCTTTTCTTTTTCTTTCTAGGCAGAACGTGTTCATGAGTTAAATGAAGAAATTGGTAAATTGTTGGCTAAGGTGGAACAACTAGGAGCTGAAGGTAATGTGGAAGAATCGCAGAAAGTAATGGATGAAGTAGAGAAAGCACGGGCAAAGAAAAGAGAAGCAGAGGTAACTAAATTCTTAATGTTGGTCTATAGAACCTTAGTATCTGTACTTCTTTTTTTTTTTTTAATATCTTTATTGATTCAGAGAGAGGAAGGGAGAGAGCGAGCTGAAACATCAGTGATGAGTCATTGATCGGCTGCCTCCCTCACTCCCCAACTGGGGATTGAGCCCACAACCCAGGCATGTGCCCTGACTGGGAATCGAACCTCGATCTCCTGGATCCTAGGTTGATGTTCAACCGCTGAGCCACTCCCAGCCGCGCAGTATCTGTACTTCTTAAAGAACATGTATTTGACTGGAAATTATTGAAAAGTTATTACTATTAAGGGGAAATTAAACCAGTTTAAAATATTTAATTAGTCCATGTCTTACTAATGGGTTATATATAAAAATTTGTGATTTTTGGAATTTAGATTCATTGATATGATGAAATATATAACTGGTAAATAAAATTAAACTAGCTAGT